ACTATCACTGTAGTAAACCAAATGAATTTATACTTGTCCCTGCAATTAAGCTCTTAATTTTTTTTTCTATACCTGCTTTCCCTTAGAATCATAGAATTCCAGAAAGTGGGGACTGGAGAAATGGCTCAGCTGTGAAGAGCACTGGCTGCTCTCACAGAGGACCTGGGTTTGATTCCCAGCACTCACATGGTGGCTAACAACCATCTGTAACTGCAGTTCCAGAGGATCCAACGCCCTCTTCTGACCTCCTTGGACATTGCATGACACTGATGCATTTACATGCATAAAGGCAATACACTCATAAATATAAACATAATAAAGAAAATACTTTAAAAAAAAGAATTCCAGGAAGTGAAAGAGCATGGACATTACTCTCATTCAGTCCCTCATTCTAGCAAGGAAATTGGCCCAGAGAAATCAGTTTATACAGTACTTTAGTGGTAAAGCCAGGATCCGCATTCAGTGCCCCTCGTCTGGTTTGGTTGTGTTTTTGTTTGTTGTTTTTATTTCTTTTTCAAGAAACTGAGCTCAGATTTAATTCTATTTCTTGGTATCCCATTGTTTTCTTTTCCTTTAAGAATTTTCTTGTTCAAGCTGGGCGTGGTGGCACATGCCTTTAAATCCCAGCAGAAGCAGAGGCAGGCAGAGCTCTGTGAGTTTGAGGCTAGCCTGATCTCCATAGTGAATCCAGGCCAGCTGTAGATACAGGGAAACGTTGTCTCAAAAGGACCAAAAAACAAAAAGAAAGAATTTTCTGGTTCTTAGAAGGTATCTTATGGTAAACTTGGCCTTTGTATATGCTCAAGAGTTCTTACTCAGTGGATGCTTCCTAGATTTGTCACCCATTTTTTCCTCCTCTATTGATACACAATGCATTCTTCTAAACTTGAAAGGGTTCCAGAAATTTGCCATGCTGGCAGAAGTTTTAAATTCAGTTTTCTTTATGTGTTTGCCTAAGTCTAAGTTTGTGCCAGGCTTCCTGAGCCTGCCTTAAGTCTGCTGGACCCTCATTCCTCCCTTGTCTTGGGAGTCTCCAAGGAGGAAGAACAGAGAAGCCAAGTGTTACCCCAGGGTTTTACAATCTTTCGCTAGGAGATGGACTCAAGCACTGTGGGGGGAGTGTAGAGGTAAAGGTAGAGCTAGTTGGGGGGTTTTCCATCAGCTCCAGAACACAGCTACACTGTCACTCATTCCCCTCCATTTACCATATCTGCAATATTTTTGGCATCTTCTAGCCCTCCCCGCATTTTTGTGCTTTCTTCCCCCCCCCCCAGTGAAGACCATCTGCTTGACTCAGTTACTTAGTTAAAACCTAGGTGTGAAAATCAAACATGCTTATAAAAGAGAAGTGTGGCCTGTGTGTAATAGTGCATGAAACTAAGCAACAGTTCTTTCCTAGGTAGAACTAGACTTTGTAATATGAGGGGAAGCTGAGCTTAATTCCTTATGAGAAAACTGTCTTTCTCCCACTTAGGCTATACATACTTACTAGTAGCCTTGCCTGTGGCCCACTGTCTGTCTGCTGTGTGCCTTCATCTGATTTTAGTGACCCCCTGTTTGTGAGGGTTTTTTCTGCTCCTCTTCTCTCCCTCACAGTGACAGTCCTGTAAGTACTTCAATAGCTTGGTTGTGTTAAGATTTTTAGCCATGGTTCTCACCTTCATAATAAGTTTTCTCTTTCTCTGGTGATTGTTGCTGCTTGTTTCTAAAGCCTTTCCTCACTCTCCTTACATCATTAATGTGATTTCCTTCTGCCGAATGCCTTTTCCTTCCCCTCTGGAGAGCCATTAAACTATTGAGTGTATTCTGTAAAATTTCTCTCACCCTGTTTTAATTTCATGTACTGTGTTTTTTTTCCTCTTCTGAAATGATATCGTTTCCTGTGTTGTGTTTGCATCTTAGTGTTTTTCTTTTGAAGGAGACCGCAATTTTAATTAGATTTGGCCTAGTTCTGCGTTGTCAGTTCTGCTTGCAACATGTGGGAGGTCCCTAGGATGAGAGTCATGTTTCCTCCCATTTTATTAGCTTGCTATCTATCTTATCCCCCGTATAGCTCACACACTCTCTGCTCTAGTGCTTCTGGAAGCTTCTGTGAAGTTTAAATGACCTATGTGAAAACATGCTAGTGTCCTATTTTAGCATATATATGTAGCATTTACAATTTTTATACCCCGCCACATGCCTGAGGGATGTGAGGTTGCTTAAGGTGAAGAAAAAGAAAACAAAAACCACAAACACCAACGTCCAACAGTATTGTTAAAAGTAGTTAGAAAGGGAAATCAGAAACTGTTTAAAAGGAATCTGTAACAATGTTGCTATCAACCATAAGAAAAAAAAAACCTTCCTATAAATATTAAAGGAACATGACCTTTTAATTGTGTTACCATTTTGCTGTTCTAGACTAGTAATGGAAGAAGTTTGTGATTGTGGTATGAACATATGTTTGTGTAGTGACAAAATTACTGACATTGTTACTCATTTTTGGGCCCCTGCAAAATTTTGTTCTGGAATAGAGAACTGAAGCCATTTTTGTTCCTTGACTGTTATTAACCTCTTTAGTCTGACTTTACCATTCAGATTTACTAACAGCTACCAGGTATTGATCAACTGCCAGCAAACAGATATTTAGTCAAGGATTGGATCTGTATTACCTCATTTAGTCCTCATCATTATGCTGTGAGATAGATGTGCTCTGTGTAACAGATGAAGACACAGCAGAGTCTAAGTAGGTAACTGGCTCAAAGTGGCCCTGTAAGTGGCAGGGAGTGTCTGAGTACTAAGTTTGTTCATTCCCTTTGTGACTCCCTCATGTTTCTTGTTACCTTTCTGTTACTCTAGCAAGTATCTGAGACCATCAACTTATAAAGTGAAAAGGTTTATTTTGGTTGGTTAACCCTGCTATTTTGGGGCCTGTGGTTGCTGCATGTGCATTTGGAACATGTGACAAAATGAAATCACTCACTTCATGCCTGGGGATTGAAAGAGGTAAAGAAGCAGCATCCAGGGCCTCACAGTGCCCCTTAGAGGCATGCATCTGAGGGCCGAAGACAGCCCAGGCTCACTTGTTGAAGATCTACCACTGCCTAGTAGTGTCATGGGCCGAGCCGGGGAACAATGCTTTTAAAAAACACAGGGATCTTTCTGAGATATTTTGGATCCTAATGATAGCAGGAAAATTCCCCGTTATAGCTTTGATAGTTAACCCTTCCTTCTGGATTTTGCTCAGTACCTGGTTTCCTAATTTGAAGTTCAAGCATCTCCTTAAGATGGCATGCTGGTTTGAGCGTGTGTACATATGTAAAGGATTTTTTTTTTTTCATGTCTTAGTTTTAGGTTGAAGTCCTGAAGTGGAACTGATTGTTCTACAGTGTCCTTAAGAGGAGTCGCGAGCGAGGGAGAGAGGCAGTAGGGGAGTGATTGCAACATACTTTATTGTCTTGTAAGTCTTACACCACCCCATGGCTTAAGTGACATTAGTCCCCAAAACTGAAGCATGGAGGATTAAACAAGTTTGTCCAAAGTTGCACAAGTAGAAAATGGAATCTTCAATATACCATTGGTAACACAAGCTTATGAGACCCTCCCAAACCCCCAGGCTTTCTCTCATATATGCTTTCATCCCTCATAATAATAGTAGCGATTAAGCTCTTACAGGAGTGCCAGGCAGATTTCTTACCACTGTGGACTGTTATTTAATCCCTACCCTGGCTTGAAGAGCTACATACTCTATCTCCATTTGTCAGGTGAGTAAATTGAGTTAGAAAGCTGAAATAAATTGTGCACAATCAGAGTCAAAGACTAAGAAATTGGGCCTATTTTCTGTTCTTGGACCACTTTCTCACAAAGTATGGTTTTAGAAGTTTCTTCTGAACAGAGCTGTGCTCTTGTCTCTCTCAATTACATGCACCATGAAAGTTAGAGCTATTTAGAAAAAAGGGTTTGATTGGCTTTTTAGGTAAGTATACGCAAAGGGGAAGTACTTCTCTCCGGGAATGGCATGCAAGATCCAGCAGCACTGGGGATGAGGACTGCTGGTGACAGCTGGCCAGTGGTCATCTCTGCCTTCTTAACTTTACTGAAGACAACAGAAGCCAATCCTTTCAGTGACCAGGCTGTATAGCATTTCTTAACCCAACAACTCCCCTCCCCTAAGAAAAGTCAGATTATAGCCTTGATCAACCTTCTTTTGGGTTCTTATGCCCATTGGCCTGTGGTTGAATGTAGGCTTCCACCACTTTATTGTGATCAGCCCATGTGGCAAGCACCTTGTGGTCCCGGATATCTACCATTTGCCTTTGGATTGGGATTGAAGCGTAATCCGTTGAAATAAGTGACCTTTGCAGTACCTGAAGCCCTTGCCTCACTTACTCTCTCCCCAGTCTCCAATGTTCAGAGCATGCTTCATGATTTAAGACATTAGCCCTTAAACAGCTTATTACAGGAAGCCCAAAAGTCTGCGCACTAAAGTGACAATGATTCAAACCTATTGTTCTCTGGATTCCTCCCCCCCCCTTTTATGCCTTCTTATTCATTTAACAGAAGGCCTTTACAACCAAATAAAACTACAGACTGAAGACAGATGGGTTTGATTCTATGCTCTGATCTTTTCTAGCTTTTGTGGCTTCAGGTAACTTATTTAACCCCTCCTCTGGCCCTCAGTTTCCTCAAGATTAGAAACGATATATGCCATGTACCCTTTACACATCCTGGCACAGGGCAGGTGTTCAAGATGGAGGGACTGCCACTACTATTATGACATGTAAAGGCAATCTGAAGATGTGGAAAGCTGGGATTTGTTTTGTTGGTAGTAAATAGTATTTCCCTGTGGACTTCTTGTGCTGTTCATATGTGGTCCAGGGAAAACAGTGGACTGGTGTTTGCTATGAGGAAAGATAGCTCTTTGTTCCCCGCAACAGACAAAAGAACTCATTATTGTATCAAGTAGTGACTGTTGCTATTGAAATGGTTTATTTGTGTGTTTTTTTCTGTTTCTTTCCTAGGGATTTATTTGTGGCTTTTCAGTAGCAACAGGTGCAGCAGCGAGACTAGTGTCAGGATACGACAGTTACGGAAATATCTGTGGGCAGAGAAATGCAGAGTTGGAAGCAATACCAAACAGTGGCATGGACCACACCCACCGGAAGTGAGTAAACTATGGTTGCATGATATGGGCACTTGGAAGCTTTGAAGGAAGCACAGGAAGGCCTGCTTTTCTAACTGTCTTAAAGATAATAGCTCCTGGCTATTTTTATATACTTTCTGTTGGCGTTTTTTTTTTTTTTTTTTTTCAAACTATGTACTTGAATCATTCCTGCTTTAGTTCAATACATTCTCCAGGAAACAAAATTAGCTGCCCCGCAAAGTATGCAACCTTAAAGTTTTAGTAGGTAAAGAAAGGCTTGGTTTGAAGGGTTTCTCTTACACTCTGTCTTCCCACTAACCTTTGGTTGTGTGGTAAGTTTTAATGCGGAAAGTACAATAGTATTTCCTTCCTAAGATCATACTTGATGGGAGACAGAGGGATGATAAGGGATATTGAAGCATTAAAGCTATTAAGTACTATTTTGCAATGCATCATTTATAAAAATATACAGTGCCTTCCAGTTTTATAATTGATAGATCTTCCTTGACAGACTGTAACATTTGTTTTGGGTTCTCAATACTCATCTTTGGAACTCATGAAATTCCTGACTTAATTGTCTTTTTTCTTCAAAAGAGCTTTATTATTTCATTTTTAATGTCAATAGGAAAAATAGATTTCATCCAGTAAAATATATTTTATATACGATGTCTATATAATTTATTCAAGTTATAGACGTGTGTACCATAAAATGACATTAGATTATTTCAAGTTTCAAAACAGGTCTTCAGAATTAACAAAAGTAATTGTAAAGTAACAAAGGCTAATCAATCTAAATATATTTTATAGGAAAAGACAGAGCAAATAAAAAACATTTTTAGGTTATAGGAAGCACCTTAGAAAACATCCTTCAGGAAGATTATTTGTAATAACTATATTATGTAAATCTAGTGGTTAAATCTTGGCTTGCCTATATAAGATTAATTTGATGATTTCACAAACTTGAACAAACTCAAATAGTATTTCTTAGAGCTAGTCCTCTCTGTAATAAAGAAGAGGTAATGCAAGTCAAATAAACAAAATTTTAAGTAACAATAATGAATATACAGCATGCCACAGTGGACAAGCTTTTACCACCGTTAGGCAGGAGTAGCAGAGGCTTAGGCCAAAGTTTGCTCCAAGGCCACATGTTTGGCAGATAGAGGAGGATCCACTTCTCTCTCGAAATGCACCTGCTTTCCTCAAGAGAAGTGGAAACCAAACTCAGCAAATTGGAAGATTACTTCATGTGTGCTTCTTTATAATCACCTCATGACATTAATAAAGATTTTACACCTTATACCGTTTCTTATACTAAGAGAATCCCTACTTTTTTGTTGGCCTTTTATTTTGTAGTAATTTTGAACTCATGGAATTGCAAAACTTCAATTTATTTTATTTTTTAAGGTAGCACCTGTGCTTTAAAGTGTTGTTTAAGGGGCTAGAGAGATGGCTCAGCAGTTAAAAGTACTGGTTACTTTTGCAGGGGACCCAGGTTCAATTTCCAGCAGCTGGCAACTGTTTATAACTCCAGTTCCAGGGAATCCAACACCCTCTTCTGACCTCTGTGGGCACTGCATGACACAGGTGCACTTATGTCAGAACACTCATACACATAAAATAAAAAATAATAAATAAAAAATTTTAAATGTTGTTTAAATCCTTGATGATGTTAATATAGACCAGATATAAGGTCCTCCAGGTTACTGTTCACATGCCTTGTAGTCACTTGTAGCTCCCTTTATGACTTGCTCATGACTGTGAGCTTACATTTACCACTCTCCACACATAACCCTAGGGTGGTTCACCAGGTTAGTAGGGCAGATGTCAAATCTTCAGGTTATTCTATATATACCTTAGCCTCTGGCAAAGAGAAATTATCTGTTCTTATTATGGGTCCCTTTTATCTGAATGTTTAGCATAGTCAAAAGCCATTCATGTTTAACTGTAGGGAAAATGCTTTTCCAAGTAGGTTTTCTTTAATTCATGTACACACACTTAACATTTATTTTTGATCCCTACTTTATCTTCTCTGCATTATAACCTTTTCAGTGCTAATCCATCTGAGTATTTCTGTCTGTAAATGATAAATTTTGGTTAACTTTTGAACACACCTTTTCAGGTAAGTTTACAGTGTTTGGACTTGGAAAGTGTCAGGAAGGCAGCTGTCCTGTGGTCGTTAGCTTTATTCCATCCTCATCTCCGCTCTGCCACGTGTATTGGCTTCCTTCCATGCTCAGTCCTTGCCTTTGGCTTCACTGTGAAATCCAGATCCTTCTGTAGTTAATGAAGTACTTTTATACCTGTGTTGTATACTATTACCTTAACTGCTTTCTTCCCAACTCTTATCCCCAGCCCCCATTGCACTTCCTAGTCCTTACTTGACCTCCATATGTATTGTTGAATATTCCAACAAGTCCTCTAAAATCTTCGATAGAACTCTTTCTTTCATGAGTGTTGTTCCTTCCGTTGGGGGAAATTTTTCCTCCCAGTCTTCTTGTGGCTAAATCCTGCTTCAGGTCTGAACAGAAGTGTCACTTGCCAGAGAAGGTGGCTTTGGCCTTACAATTGAAGTGATGAGACTGACATACTCCCTACTATAATGAGGCACCAACAAACACAGCTTAAACCAAGTATCTTCTGTTGTGGCCTGTCGTGTAAATAATTACACATCCATCTTTGATAATTTGTCAAAGGTGTGTCTGTCAAGTGCCGTAATAGAAGCAGTGAAACCTGTTCTTTGCAATGTTGCATCCTTAGAGCCCATCTCAATCTCTAGAATGAAGCAGGCAATCCATTCAATGCTTGTTGAATGAGTAAATAAATTCACTCCTTAGAGTGAGTTATTGAGTTTGAGGATGTGAATATTTTAAGATTGTTAATGCATGTTGCTGAATGGCTTTCTGTAAAGACTATTGCATTTACATTCTCACCAGCAGTGCCTAAGATTGCTTTATCTTTGCTAGCATTATTAGTTTTTATTCTTTACTAATTTGATAAGCCAAAGAATAGTGCTTTATAGTTTTAATTTGCATGTCTTTGGTTGTTAACAGTGTGAACCTTTCCCCCACGTGTTAGTTAGCTTCTCTTGAAGGCTATTGTGCTTAGCATATCTATTCTTGGTTTTCTTATCTCTAATCAGCTCTATCCTTTATGCTGTGAGAGGATTAAGTTCTTAAAACAGGACTCTTATTTTGTTGCTTTCCTCTTCGAGAGCCTTTCCTTTCCTGCTGTGGCCTGTAGTATCAAAGATAAGTCCACTCAGCCCCTGCCCTTCCAGGCTTTTTGAGCTCTGGACCCAGTTCACCTATCCAGCCTTCTCCTACTGTTCCTCAGTGTGGTAGTATTATTGTTGGTGACATTCGATTGATTCCACTTCCGTGCTGTTCCTTCTGCCTGTCTGCCAATCTGAATCTTTGAATCTTTGAAACACTTAATGGCAGGTCTCATTGCTGACCTTTTTGTGAAGTATTTCAAAATAACCTTATCTTATAGTAAGCTTCCCTTTACGTTGATTGCCTGAACTTTCCTGTCTCATTCTCGTTATTCTATTGCCTTCAGTTTGCTCTCTAATTATATTATGTTTCTCATCTGTCTATTAATTATTGGTTGCTAGGTAACAGTATTGCCATAAACTTAGTGGCTCAGAGCAAGACACATTTGTCATTTCAGTGTCTGTTGGTTCAGAAATCTAGATGTGTTTTGCCTGGGTCTGCCATTTCAGAACCTCGCACAACACTGCAGCCCAGGTGTCCGTCAGGATTAGGTTTTACCAAGGCTCAGTGGAGGAAGCCCCTGTAGCTGTGAGCAGTATGCAGTTCCTGCAGGATTGTTGGACTGTGAGCCTTGCTGGCTACCACTGGGGGCTATCCTCAGTGCAGTTCTTGAGGGCCTTTCCATATGGCATTTTATTCCTTCAGAATCAGCAAGGGAGAGCATCTAGAGAATCTTCCTGAAAGATGGAAATTATACTTCTGTGTACTATACTATAATGGAAGTCATATGCATAGTAGACTCCTAAAATGATGGAATTACACTACTCTCGATTGTAATCATGGAAGTGACATCCATAGTAGAAAGTCTGCTAGGAATAATGGAAGTTACACCCCTATGTACTGTAGTCATGGGAGCGGTGTCTGTCATCCTTGCTGTGCTCTGCTGGTCAGGCACAAATTGAAGGTCCCACTCAAGAAGAAAAAATTACACAAGGAAATGAACAAAAGCGAGAGGAATATGGGAGTTCATTTGGATGCTGTCTGCTTCTCTGCCCCACTCTATATTCCTGAAGCAACATGTTTTCTTTAACCCTCAGATCTGAGTACCCATGTTCCTTGATGAGGACTTATTTAGTTTAATAATCTGGGAAGGAGAAAGCTAAGAGAGAAAAAGACCTCTGTCTCATTTGAACCGCATGGTTAGGGTGCCAGAATGACTACAAGAATACTCTTCTTAATAAAGAAAAAGTAATATTCTATTTATTTATCCTTCTGAATGTAATGTTTTGTTTTGTTTTAATCTCCAAGTAATACTTTGGACCCAATAATGCATTTACTATAGTAATTAAGTTGCATAGGAAAATGTCAGGCAGTATTTTATGAGATTTAAGAAAGCCTCAACTTCAGTGGAGTAAATTAATTTCTAAATTGGTGGCTTCAGAAATTTAAGACTTTTCCTGCGTAGAAACAAAGCTACAGATAAGGGTCTAAGACTGGGTCAACTCAGAAAAGCTAATTCGTCTCTTAGAACCAGGAAGTACCAGAGCATAAATGAATCTTTAGGTTATTTAGAGATAATGTAATAATATCCTACTGTATACTTTGTAGCTGGACTATGGTGATGATGCCATAACACATGGGTTGGGCTTGGAGCCAGATTTTTGATCGTAGGAGTGGGTGGTGATAATATATTTTGAACTCTAATTGGCATCTCCAAAAGTAAATGTCTTTTGCTACATTCTAAATTGCTTATGATTTTCAGATCTATAAAGTGGAAGTGTCCTTAGAGTATATGTGAAAGCGACTGTT